GGTCGATGAAGCTGTAGCTGTACTACAAGCGCACCAAGCTAAAGAGGCTGCCCAGAAAGCCGTTAACAGTGCCACCGGTGTTCCAACTGTTTAAAGTGAGCTTTTCCCTCTGCTTTGTTGTTTTAAGCTTGTTTTCTTCATGCTCATTTTGAAATGTACATAGCAAAATATCATTTCAGTTCATTTAAATGTATTGCTAATTTTTCAAGGAAAAGTAGAGCTAACTATAGAGGAATTAAAGGAATTTTACCCGTTAACTGTTGGATTTTTAAAATCCCAGCACTTCCAGGGTTGTTTTTTTTTCCCCCCGAAACGGAGTCTTGCTCTGTTGCCTAGGCTGGAGTGCAATGGCGTGATCTTGGCTCATTGCAGCCTCCACCTCCTGGGTTCAAACAATTCTCCTACCTCAGCCTCCCAGGCAGATGGAATTACAGACCCATGCCACCACGCCCAGCTAATTTTTGTAATGTTTTACTAGAGTCGAGGTTTCGCCATGTTGGCCAGGCACTCCTGACCTCCAGTGATCCACCCACCTTGACCTCCCAAAGTGTTGGGATTACAGGTGTGAGCCACCGTGTCTGGCCAGATTTTCTGCAGTAATTTATATTAAATGGCCTGTCACAAGTTGGCTTTCATAGTTAAACCTTTCCTTATCGGGTGGTGCTAAATAGTTGCCCTTGGGCCTCTACTACTGTCTTTCATTATTCCCAAGAAACTGAGTAGTGCAGCCAGGATCAAGACCAGGGATTGGCAAATCTTTTTTGTAAAGGGCCAGATAGAAATATTTTGGGCTTTGAGGACCATGTTATTTCTGAAATGATCTTGTTCCAGTGTTAGTTACCATGTCAAAACAACCATAGGCAGTATATATACAAATGAAAGATATGGCTGTGTTCCAATAAAACTATAGATAGAAACAGGCAGCCACACTGGATTTGGCTAAGGGCTTTAATTTGCTGCTAACAAGTGATAGTCCTGGTCTTAATTTTTTTTTTTTTTTTTTTTAACATTTACAGATTGATCAGGGACCATGAAAAGAAACTTGTGCTTCACCGAAGAAAAATATCTAAACATCGAAAAACTTAAATATTATGGAAAAAAAACATTGCAAAATATAAAATAAATAAAAAAAGGAAAGGAAACTTTGAACCTTATGTACCGAGCAAATGCCAGGTCTAGCAAACATAATGCTAGTCCTAGATTACTTACTGATTTAAAAACAAAAAAACAAAAAAAAAATAGTAAAATATAAAAACAAATTAATGTTTTATAGACCCTGGGAAAAAGAATTTTCAGCAAAGTACAAAAATTTAAAGCATTCCTTTCTTTAATTTTGTAATTCTTTACTGTGGAATAGCTCAAAACATCAGTTCTGTTTTAAGTAACAGAATTGAAAACTGAGCGAGGAAACGTAATTTGGATTATAAAATTCTTGCTTTAATAAAAATTCCTTAAACAGTGCACGGTTTTGCTTTTTTTCAGTCTTTGTAATTGCCATGCATAAATAGGTAATATCTTAATGGTGCTGAGCTGACATAAGAATCTTTCATGAAAAATGTACTGTTAAAGTAAATTTAAGGTGTCTATTGGTTTTATGTAAAAGGCACAAGACAATTTCTCTAGTTTATTTTATGAGTTAAGGTTTCCATATGGATTGAACCAATCCATATTTGTTAACATGATCTTAACATTTCATGTACGAGACTCACACCCATCAACTTTTAAAGATAAGCCAGTTTATGGGGTTTTTTTTTTGTAGGGGGGTGCGTGTAGAGATGGGGATTTCCCTACTTTGCCCAGGCTGGTTTTGAATTCCTGGGCTCAAGGGATCCTTCTGCATGAGCCACCATGCCTGGCACACTGGTTTATGATTATATTGAGGTTTTTAGGCCAGGAGATGATTAGCTTAAACTCTTACATGATTTAAAACAATGACAGCTACTCTTGAAGAGGATGTAGACAGTATAGCTTTGGTATAATTTTAATATTAAAGTGTTAAAAGGATTATTTTTAAACCTTATTTTTGTAAAGTTTTTAATTTTATTTGGTAGTTGATGATTGTGATTTAATTTTAGTGTAATACCCAAAGTACTCAGTAAAGATGAGGGGTTCTTTTAGGAGGATGGATTTTGAAGATCTAGCCTGAGGTACAGAATATCTGCATAAAACTGATAACTCAGGCAATTTGCACTTTTGAGTTTTAACTTCTAACCCGTTCTCTGTGGACTGCTGCCGGAGTTTCTTTTTTTTTCTTTTTTCTTTTTTTTGTTTTGAGATGGAGTCTTGCTTTGTTGCCAGGCTGGAGTGCCGTGGCGCCGTCTCGGCTCACTGCAACTTCCGCCTTCCACCTCAGCCTCCCAAGTAGCTGGGACCCACAGGTGCGTGCCACCACACCTGGCTAATTATTCATATTTTAGTAGAGACGGGGTTTCACCATGTTGGCCAGGATGATCTCGATCTCTTGACCTCATGATCTGCCCACCTTGGCCTCCCAAAGTGCTGGGATTACAGGCATGAGCCACTGCACCAGGCCAAATTAGCTTTCTAAATTTAAACATGATTATCTCATTCCATGCTAAATAAGAAACAACTCTATTAACCTTTGGGATTAAATAAATCTAAACAAAACCCTAGCTTGTGACAGTGGCAGCCCTCCCTGCTGATGAGGCCTAGTGATGCTTCTGTACCTAGAATGCATTTCACTGTGGCTTCCTCTTTGGAAACCCAAGATGGTGCAGACTCCATCCTCTTACCGTGTAGCATAGAACAGTGCATCCAGTGGGCATTCTGGTTATTTTGTATTTTGCCTGACGATAGACATACCCTCTCAGGGGCTGATGGTTCATTACAGTTTCTTTTGAAAGATTTTCTTCATTGTGTTAAGGCAGAGAAACACTGTATTTTTCAAAATTGTAATACAAAATGGTTGAGATTTTAAAAGAGCTGGCTACTTTGAGACTCTTGGAGTCAGATCTATAAAGTTCACCCACTAGTTCCAAAATCTAGTGCCACGTTGGCTTCACAGCTTTATATATTAGGTAGCTGGTTGGAACTCAGTATTTGTTGTCTGTTCTTAAAATGTCTGCTTTTTCAGATGTAGCAAACTTAAGTGACTGGCCAGAGCCAACAGATAAGGTGGGGAGTAGACTTGGATTCTTCAAGGAATTAAGGAAACAGTTGATCATTATTTGCAGATTCTGTATTTGCAAATTTGCCTATTCGCTGAAATTTATATGTAACCCTTAAATCAGTGTGCATGCTGCTTTCGTAGACATGTACAGAGCAACAAAGAGTTTGAGTCACCTGACATCACACTTCCAGATGAGTATACCTTTCATGGTCTCACAAGTGGTATGTTCTTGACATTTTTGTGCCTTTTGTTGGTGAATTTTGCTGTTTAAAATGGCCCCCAAACATAGTGCAGAAGTGATATCCAGTGTTCCTTAGCACAAGAAGGAAGAGATGAGCCTTTTGGAGAAAACGGGTGTTAGGGATACTTGTTTTCAGGCATGGTTGACATGAGTTATAGTGTTATTGGCTGTGAGTTCAGTAATGTATGTAAAATAAGGTATCTTAAACACATAAAACAAGGCTACATATTAATTGATGAAAATGTCACAGGCTTACAGGAACCTAACCCTAACCCTGTCTTTCCCCTATGGGCAACAGTTTAGTACAGGCTGATTATCCCTTTTCAGAAAAGCTTGGGAGTTTGGAATATTTACATTTACAGAATGAGATCTTGGGGATGGGACTCAAGTCTAAACACAATTTATTTCATACACATAGCCTGCACGTAATTTCATACAGTATTTTCAGTAAATTTGTGCATAAAACAGTTTTGACTATGACCCTTCACATGAAGTCAGGTGTGGAATTTTCCACTTGTGTCATGACAGCACTCAAAATTTGTTTTCGGTTTTGGAGCTTTTTGGATTAGGGATATTCAACCTGTATTTGCTAAATCAGTGTTCATGGTGATTTTTTTTTTTTTTTTTGGTTTTTGTTTTTGAGATAAGAGTCTTGCTCTTGTTGCCCAGGCTGGAGTACAATAGTGTGATCTTGGCTCACTGCAACCTCAGTCTCCCAGGTTCAAACAATTCTTGTGCCTCAGTCTCCCGAGTAGCTGGGATTACAGGTGCACATCACCATGCCTGGCTAATTTTTTTATTTTTGGTAGAGACAGGGTTTCACCATGTTGACCCAACTTGTCTTGAACTCCTGACCTCAGGTGATCACCCTCCTTAGGCTCCCAAAGTGTTGGGATTACAGGTGTGAGCTGCAGTGCCCGACACATGGTGATTTCATAGAACATAACTGCTATGAGTAAAAAGAATTGACTGTAGTTACATATGGTAAATAACATAGTTCATAACCCACAATGGTTTGTTTGAAACTACCCAGCTTCATAGCAGGATTTGAGATGCAAAGCAGAATGAGACAACTGACATTTTTTGGGCTACCATATATCTTGGTTTTTTTTGAGACAGAATCTCACTCTGTTGCTCAGGCTGGAGTCAATGGCATGATCTCTGCTCACTGCAACCGTTGCCTCCCAGATTCAAGTGATTCTCCTGCCTCAGCCTACTGAGTAGCTGGGATTACAGGTGCCCACCACCACGCCTGGCTAATTTTTGAATTTTTAGTAGAGATGGGGTTTCACCATGTTGGCTAGGTTGGTCTCAAACTCCTGACTACAGGTGTGAGCCACTGCACCTGGCCCCATATATTTTTTAAAGGATGTGTATGACTGCATCATTTGACAGTTTTGACACAAACTAGTAGGTGACATTTTTCTATGGATACTAGATATATAATGGTTAATTGGAAACATCTAGAATCTTCTCTGTTTTAACAGGTATGCTAAGATGTGCATAGATGAAATAAGCTCAAGTAATATGACTTGTTTATAGTATGCTCTCTTTGGTTATGTGAGAGATATTAGGGAGAGTACTTTGAAAATTGCTTATTCTTTTGGTTTAAAATCATCTCAGATTATTCATTTAAAGCAAGTATATGACTTTGGGGGTTTTTTTGTTTGTTTTTTTTGTTTTTGAGACGAGGTCTCGCTGTTTTACCCAGGCTGGAGTGCAGTGGTGAGATCTCAGTACAACTTCCACCTCCCGGGTACAAGCGATTCTCATGTCAATCTCCTGAGTAGATGGGATTACCGGCACACACCACTACGTCTAGCTAATTTTTTTTTTTTTTTTTGAGATGGCGTCTCACTCTGTTGCCCAAGCTGGAGTACAATGGCACTATCTTGGCTCACTGCAACGTCTGCCTCCCAGGTACAAGCAATTACACTCATGTCAATCTCCTGAGTAGATGGGATTACCGGCACACACCACTACGTCTAGCTAATTTTTTTTTTTTTTTTTGAGATGGCGTCTCACTCTGTTGCCCAAGCTGGAGTACAATGGCACTATCTTGGCTCACTGCAACGTCTGCCTCCCAGGTACAAGCAATTCTCCTGCCTCAGCCCCCTGAGCAGCTGGGATTACAGGTGTGTACCACCACGCCCGGCTAGTTTTTGTAGTTTTAGTAGAAACGAGTTCATCATGTTGGTCAGTCTGGTCTCAAACTCCTGACCTCGTGATCTACCCACCTTGGCCTCCCAAAGTGCTGGGATTACGGGCGTAAGCCACCGCACCTGGCCTAAATTTTTGTATTTTTAGTAGGTACAGAGTTTCACCATGTTGGCCAGGCTGGTCTTGAACTCCTGATCTCAAGTGATCTGCCCACCTCAGCCTCTCAAAGTATTGGGACTACAGATGTAAGCCACTGTGCCTGGCCAAAAGCAAGTATATAACTTTGAAGAGAATCTGGATACGTAGGTGTAATGAGTGCACTAGACAAGTTCTCACAGAAGCAAAGTAAAATCTTAAGTCTGAGTTGGAAGCACCATGGGTGGAGCTGGTCAGTACCCTGCCTAACACTGTCCAGTTATGATGGTTTGCTGCATGGCTGTCTGCTAGAAGCCCTAACCAGTCGTGGGGACATCTTTGAGTAAACCAGTCAGGGCAGACACACCTTTTGACAATGCCAATGCTACACCGACGAATTTTTTAAAATTATTTGTATTATAGAGACAGGGTCTCTGTTGCCCAGGCTGGAGTTCAGTGATGCAATTGTCTGCACCCTCCAATTCCTGGGCTCAAGAGATGCTCTCACATCAGCCTCCCAAATAGCTGAGACTACAGGCACTCACCACCTCACCTAGCTAATTTTTTTTGTTTGTAGAGATGGGGATCTTGCTATGTTGCCCAGGCTGGTCTCAAACTCCTAGTCGCCTGAAGTGCTGGGATTACAGGTGTGAGCCGCTGCACCCAGTCCTACACTGATGAATTTTTTTTTTTTTTTTTGAGACAGGGTCTTGCTCTGTCATCCAGGCTGGAGTGCAGTGGCAAGATCACAGCTCACTGCAGTCTCAACCTTCTGGGCTGAAGCGATCCTCCTAT